TGGTCTGTGCTTCAAAAGCTCTGAGGTCTTGATCCATAACCTGTACTTTTAGGTGCAAGTAATGAATAGTATCAGGTTTTTTTACAGTGCTTGATTAGACTGGCTGTTCCTTGCCCGACAATCTCTTTGAGTTTGTATTGCAATTGTGTTTTCTGCATGGCACCAAGGAGAAACTGCAGCTAGTCCAGCCTACAGCTGTGCTTTTGCTGCCTGGTTGATGAGCAAGTCCTGTTGTGCCCATCTCCAGGGGAGTCCACTGCCTTCTTGTTTGCTGCTGGCTACAATTCTAGAGGATATCTGCTGGCTTTACCACTTCTGTGAGCAGTGACTAATGCCCTTCCTTCATATATTTCAGAATAAAATACAAAGCTAAAGTGGCTTAAAGGTTCAGGACTGGAAGGAAACTTTTGTGGGAGCCCTTATTGTTAGTTCAGCTGACCATTGTAGAGGCAGGCTCTTACACTGTCCCTCATGGTGTGCAATGGAAGGTTACTTTTTGTTCAGTCCTGACAGTTCATTATTGATTTACAGAACAGAAGTATAATTTAGAACTGCAGGTCTCTATTTAATTTTTAAACAAAATCTGGAAGCTATGTGACTAGTTGTGTTGTCATGCTAGTTTTGCTTTGTAACTGTGTGGTTCACAGCATATTTCTTTGTCCTGAGAATTGCACTAGGAAAACGCTGTGCTTTGGGGGTTTATTTTAAGTGAAAGGTCATGCCTAAGAATGGATGTGTGCTTCTTCTTTAAAGCTGACTAACTTGAACAGACTAAATTGTGAAATCACGGCAGTGGGAAGTTACACTGATAATCCATTCAAATATTTTCAATTACTCAATGGCTTGTGGGACAATAGTTTGCTGTACTTTGATTTTGTATGATAACCACTTGCTACAGTGCCACATTATTGATTGGCATTGAGGCTTAACTTCATCATGTCAGACCTAAGCTTTTGATTGACAGGAAGACATTACTTGGTAGGGAATTAATCTCAGCTGTCATCTGAATTACTTTCCAACAACCCTTATATCTTTGTGTTGACACACAAGTAACCTGAGCTCTGTTGTTCAGAAACTCCCAGGTTTGAGAAGTGGGTAATGCTTCTTTTTATTTTATTTCTTTTGTGTATTGTTCTTATATGAAAGTAGATTCTGCTACCACCACATGATTCCATGAGGTGAAGCCCCATCATTTTGAATACTATAATGCTAAGATTTGGCAACGCTGGTGGAGGTCCCAAAACTAAGAACTCTGCAATGAAAGAACTTTTCATTCCAGAAGTTTGAACTCAGTCTTTAATTAGAAATTAATGCTACTGCAACTAGAATTAAAATATTTCCAAATAGGATTCACATCAAGTAAAAATTTGATGAGAAACTAGAAAAATATCCAAGTGAAAATTCTTCTCAGCAAATTGCAGTTTAATACATCCTTCACTTCTCTGGGACCCAGGAAGCTGTATCAGATTGCAGTTCACAGCCAAAATCCATCCCTGGGGTTTTGGAAATTGGCAGCTAGTATACACTTTATTTTTCAAATGTTACTTTGACAGGATAAAACCACTTTTTATATAAAACTACAGGTTAAATCTGGGCTCTGACCTTGAAAGAGAAATCCTGAGCACAAGTTCTTGTTGCAAGTCATGTCTGGTTTTGCAATGTATTCATTCACTTCCTAATACAAAATGTCCTGGGATCAAAACCCAAGAAGTCATTCTTGCAGGGAAGATCTAAATTATTCATGTCAGCTAGATGCAGATTTGGATTCCTTCAGGTTGGATACAGATAGGGAGGTAGCCTAGGGGAGTGTCCTCACCACTCAGTTTCTCTTATAAAACATCCTGTACTGCCTTTACCCCCAACAGTAGGTTTAAAAAAAGTTGTCCATGTTTTGTTGTTTTGTTTTTTTTAAAGTCAGTGTTGTTGGCACATTAGTAATTTTCTGGGAGTTCCCACTAGGCTAAGAGATACAGTTCTAGATTTGACCTAGGTACATGCAAAAACAGCATCTTAGGTGTTATGGCTACTTTAATGTAGAAAATATAGTAACGATTTTCATCCAGCTGAGATGGTGTCTGAGGCAAGACTTTAGGCACCACTCTTAACTTAGAAATATTCAATTTCACCTGATCCCCAGGGAAGTGGGCCATTTCAGAAGTCTCCTGATTATCCTCCTTAACTTTCCTTAGAGGAACTGGTGTCTGCAGTTCAGTACAGTAATTGTCAGGTGCCAAATTTTAATTAATGAATACTCCCCACACTGCTGGAACTATTAGTCTCCTTTAAAGTAACATATATTTAAGGGACTTTTTGACTGAGAGTTTAACTCAGGCAGAAGAGCCTCTGAACATACTGGATGAATGCAAACCCTGTCCAAAGCTGTTACCCTACTCAGACCTTTGGAGTAGGATAGCTGCAGTAGTTTTAGGCAGAATACATTATTTGGATTTGACTCCTCCTTGTACGCCAGGAAAAAAATATCAGAGTATTTTTATGGTTTTCATGACTACATAGTAGTAATGATGCCAGTTTGTCCAGTCTATTAGTCTGCAACTAAGAGTAGCCAAGTAATTGCATTGACATAATCTATATATTTTTTTCTTACTTGGCAATTTAAATGCCTACCACTTCATATACTGTTCACTGTCAGAAACACTACTGCAATGCCAAATAAATGAGAGAGGAAAGAGACTGGTTTGATTCAGGGAGGGGGTATGAATTGAAGGAAACTTGTTTAAGTATCATAATGGATATTGTTAGGGAAAACATACACATAGTGTTTAGAGGCAGCCAAGCAGCTCTAGTACGGAGGAACATAGAATGACAAACAGCTTTGTTTATAGCACAAAAACTGTGAGTATTGGCTAAGAAGTAGTGTTTATAGTAATTGAGCCTTACAAGGAAGTAAAACTTCATGGGGAACACAGGGGGTAGCATTTTCAGTGAAGTAGGCAATAAGGAGAGCTGTGTAGGCATTTCCTGATTAGCATCTGCTGTTTCAACAGCCAAGGAACATGACTCGCATGTAAATGCTTGTGCTAGGCTTTAACAGGCATTCCCTCTAGCATGCCTCCCTGCCTTCTGGCTTTATTTTGAGTCTCCTTGAGCCCTACTGTGACTTGAAATCAGTGGAGGAGAAAGGAGAGTAACACAAACAACAGATGTCTTAAAGTTTTGAAGAGAGAGAGGAAAAGCCCCATGGCAAAGGAGAAGGTGCTGTTAAGGTGTTTTCCTGTCATTAGTATTCAGTGCCTCTAGTACAGACTCTTTTAGCATTTTTGCATGTATATACATATACATGTACATATACATATACATATACATATACGTATGCAGTTGGTGTGCAGTTGTATACATGGGGGTAAAGAAGTGGTAGTGCAAAAAAAATGCCCATTGCACAATTCAGAAATTTTTTTTGCACCCTGTAAGAGTGTGGCCTATAGACACTAAGTGTACTGGTTGACATAGCCAAAGCAACCTATTTTAGGGCAGGCTCAGGCATTTTTTCTCAGCTGTTCTTTGCTTTTGGTCTCTTGTTGCATAAAAGACATTAATTTTTTAAATCTGAAGTTCAAAGATTGGGAATGCTAACAGTGTGCCTGGTGTTCATCAAGACAGCTTTGCTTACAGGTGGTAATTTAAGCCATGGCAAAACAAATACCATGTACCCCATCACATTAGGAGAACTAGGTTGTGCACCAAGTGACATTCAATGCACATTCAGAAAAGTCTTTAATCTGTGCTTTTTGGTATGGGGAACTGTGTCTTTAAGGACTTTGATTTCCAGAAAGTAAATCTGTGGCAGAAGCAGCTGTGAAATTCATACAATATATAGGCAGCTGGGGATGGCATAGAGACCCTGAAAATACATTGCCTGCTGGGTGTTAACTCAGTACTGCATGGGGCCAGGAGCAAAAAGAAATGGAAAAAAAAAAACCTGTGAATGGAGAATTGAAAAGATGTGAAGTTTTCAGATTATTTTTTTTTGCTTTTTGGGAAAGATAACTAAAAGAAATATAAAGAGTATTCAGGGCTGGGAACTTTGAGCTCTGAAATCTTAGCAAGCTACTTCCTCCTTTCCCACATCTACCTCCTCCTTTTATGTCTTATTTCTTCTACAGGCTGCAGCAGATGGGTCCACAGACGGAAAATTACTTTCACACAGAATTATTTTTTCTTGTGATATTTTAAATGTATATTTATTTGCTTATTAACTTACTGGATTTTTTCAAAGAATTCTGGTAATCTCCATCTCCATGGATATTCACACTGTTTATTTTGTTAGTTACTTGTGTTATTTACGTATTTGTGTGTGTATATATATATATATTTAAATTATTTGCCTACTGTACTACAGAAGTTCATGCTTAGATTAACTTATATAGAGTTTAGGACAACTGCTGTTATTGAATGTGACTTCTGAAGAAAAAATCCAGTTTTGGAATGAATTCTGAGGATGCCAGTAGGAATTACTATTCTTTGTCCAGAAATTTGTAAATTAGAATAGTATTTCCCTGTGATGGTATTTTCCTGGACTACAGGGAATGCTATACATTGTATTATGTTGGTAGCAGCACTTTACATATCAAATATTAGTTGTTGTAAACAAGAGGGAGCCTGCTGCATTCAGTTAGAACAACTGTTATCTCATTAATACTATTTTAGCATAGACTTTCTTAATCTTTATAAGGATATCGTATCAGAAAAATAAGCATAGTAACAATAATTATGCCTGTATTTTAAATAGTGCTTTCATACATATGTGGCTTTCCTTCTGCTTTAAAAATATACTATCTCTGTTGGACAGATGGGTAAACTGAGCCATGCATGGGAAGTGAAATAAGTGCACTGGAGGTCTTCCAGACAAAGACAGAACTCCTAGTCTTAAAGCAGAACCTTATTTTAAATCATATATAAAAGTTATCACGAGGTATTTGTAAATTAACAAAACAAATCCTGCACTTTAGAGATACCATTTAATTTTTTTTTTCTTCCAACAGGAACTTTTTACACCAGAGTGCAAATTCAAGGAGTCTGTTTTTGAAAATTATTATGTAATCTACTCATCCATGCTCTACAGACAACAGGAGTCCGGGAGGGCCTGGTTCTTGGGGCTGAATAAAGAAGGGCAGGTCATGAAAGGAAACAGAGTGAAGAAAACAAAACCAGCAGCTCATTTTCTACCCAAGCCATTGGAAGGTAAGGCTCAGTCCATCTCTGGAGGACTCTGCTATAGATCTCACAAGAAGAGGGAATGGTTTCCAAAACGCCCTTACTGAATGTGCATGCCCCACAATATCAATGCCATTCCCAAAGTTTCATGGAGAAGTTTTGTGCTTCCATGTAGTGATGCTACAAAGGCCATATGTAAAAAACATTTTTCCAGGGACTAAGAGGTCATTCTACAAGAAAAGAAGTCTTTTGTGGAAGAGAATTGTGCTGCTTTTAAAATATTCCGTTGTTAGGGACAAAATCTGTTGTGAGTCTTGCAGTGAGAAAATAGTTCTTTCATTAGGCAGAATGAAATAATGATTATTGTAGGATGATTGGGAATTATAAAGGGAATGGATGAAATGTCAGCATTTAAAAGTAAAAGCTTTCTAACACAAAACACAAAGGTCTCTCAATAAAATAAATCATGATGTATTACTTTGCCAAGTGGTGCAATGTACACAACTTGTTTAAGTTGGCCTTTAAACCAAGATAGGAGCAAATAACAATCACAGTAACCTTATACACCAAAATGATGTCACATTCTCTGTAAAATCAGTTTATTATCTTGGAACTTCTGTGTTGTCCTATCTATTCTGCAGGCCCTTATAAACCTCTGCTGCCTTTTGCTTCTTGCCCTGATGGCACTATTCATTGTTCTAATTGCTGCACATAGCCTCAGTCATTCTGAAAATTATCTCATTTCTTACCATCTGAAAACACATACCTGAGAAATGCTTTGGTTAGCAGTCCAATTCCTTTTAATATTTAACTTCAAATTTTTCATTGAAGGATCAGTTTGTTTCTTTAGTTTCATCGTAAGGAAAGAATCAGAATAATCTTATTTATTTGAAGTCAGGTTGATGCCTCTGTGCTTTCCCTGTCTCATGAAAGTTTACAGTTGTTTCATAAGCTCTCAGCAATACTAATAATTTCTATCTTGATCCCTCTATATTAAATTAAGACTTATAGGGAGGGAACACTAGTGCATGTTTTTAACCAATGCAAATTTGTATGTACTAGGAAAGAAGTTACCTGTTAAAAATAATGTTTGGATGATCAGACTCCATCAAAATAGCTTAGACAATGCTTAGAAATAACTTTATTTACATTGCCTATGAGAATCATCAAATATGACAGCTCTGCTATATAATTCCTTACTTTATAGTTCCATTTCATGTTGTTCAATGTAATAATTTTGTAGGTCACAGTGTTATTTCACCAAGCTCTTTTAATTAACTAGCAAAGTGCCCTAAACACATTTATGGGCCACTCTGAAGATATAGATCATAACTAGCCTTATGTACTCTAGAGAAGGTTTAATTTGAGTCTTTCAGAAGCTATAAAAGGATTTAGATTATGTCACTGGAAATGTTAGAACAAGTATTTGATTAGTTAATGATGGTATGGGGCCCTTTACATTTATTATGAAACTTCACACCATTGAAGATCAAGTACTTTGATGCTCCAGCCTCTTACTCTAATTAGCCAAGGGATGAAGGAATTGTGCTCTCTGTGGTAGCACACACCCAGTCCGAAAATCAGTGTGATGATTAATTCCTGTGACTGCTGTGACACGTCTTTTAACATCTCTCTGATATAAATAAATGCAACTGAAGTTAGATATAAGTGGAAATATTACCTGATAGAGTGACATGGAAAATGAAATTGAATTATGCAAGAGCATTAATCATTAAGGCAGCTTAATGCTGTAACTGTGTAATTGAATACATGTATTTCCCTCAAAGGATTTGAGTGGTTAGATAGGGACTGAAGCCCAAGGAAAAACTTCTAATTCCTCTAAGAATTCAATTAATAGTTTAATTTGGACTTTTCTACACTTCTGCATTCAGTGGAGATCAGTGGCTACTGTATATGTTTTTTGAAACGAGGAAGGAAAACCCTCAAACCTCTTTTTATACTCTCCCTGTATTCTGGACATTTCTTCAGGACACACCTGAAGAAGAGACCATGGCCAAATTCCTCAGATTTGGGAGACTGATGTACATTTAACTTTGTAGAACTGGACCCTAGCCTAGTCTTGCAATGTATGACTAAGAAAGAACACTTAAGTCTAGACAACTGTGATGTATGATCCCATTTTTAATTACAGTCTGCTTTATCACATTTTACTTCTAAAAGTTCACATCTTTATTAATGTTTATTCAAGGGTTGTATATACATACACTTGTGTATAAACATGCACATTTTTGTGTGCCTTATGCAAAGACAGAACACTAGCTTTTTCATTTCCAAGGAGCTATAGTATCCATTAAGCAAGCAAGAATGCAATTTCCTACTGCATTTTTAAGTCAGATGCAGAAGTGTGAGAATTCCGGAGAGTCCAGCAATTCTCTCTGTGGTGCAAAACCAGTGTCTGTCAAAGTAAACTGTTTCCCTGGTATGCAAGAGGAACATAGAAAATTGATCCTATTTGAGTGAGCTCTCATATGAGATACGTTGTTAAAAATGCTTCTCCTTTTCTCTTCCTTCCCATCAGTTGCCATGTATCGGGAACCATCTTTGCATGATATTGGAGAAACGGTGCCAAAGGCTGGGGTAACTCCAAGTAAAAGCACAAGTGCATCGGCAATAATGAATGGCGGCAAACCAGTGAACAAGAGCAAGACAACATAGCCAGATCCTCACAGGTGTTGTGACTTTACTGAGTCCCAAGTACAGTTGAGCGATTTATCCTTGCCAGACTTCCCCTCGGCAGTGTCTGTGGATCAGCTTGTGGCAAGTCACCAGCTTGCCCGTTGCTGTTTCTGAACTGAGTTGTTGCAAGTGGATAAATCTCAACACGTAGCTCCACCACAACGAGAAGACACCTGGATGAACCAGCTAAACTCAGACCATGGAATGCCCTACCAGATATTGGAATGCCTTTTTAATATCTTTTCTGTGACTGTGACACTTCATGTGAATGACATACTTCACAAGTACACTTGATACCTTGCCTGCTGACAATTGCCCATAATCCCTTTTTGAGTCCAGTTTCAGCAAAATCCATGTGTTTAAGTTCTATTTTGTAGCACACAAATAATCAAGTAATTTCTAGTTAGATGCTGTAAACCTGTGCTATTATGGATTTCTCTTCTTCCCTTTTTTATAAGGCTGCTCGCTCCACTGTTTGTGACCTTTTGCAGGGATTGTGTTTCTCTATAACTTAAGTGTTGCCGGTGGCTTAGTTTTGAAAGCAATCAGGGAATCAGGAAGCCTTCAAAAATCTATTATTACAAATTATATCTATAAAGAATAGGATTGTTGTCTCTGGCTTAAAATATTGATTAAATGTGAATACTCTTTAGTAACAGATACTGTGCTTCTGAGGTTGGCATTAAAGAGGAGGGAAGAGTGTCAAACACAACCAACGGGGAGTTTTCTGAAACGTGTGTTTGGCATCCCCCTATAGTTTCTTTTTGTGTGTGTGTTTTATACATATCACAGGCTTACTGGTAATGGTAACATTTGCCTTGCCCAGCGAGCAAGACCCACTCATTTTTGGAAAAGTGGGTCCAAAGAATTTTGTAGGCCTTGTAGGTCTGAATTAAGGCTCATTTTTCATCTACTAAATCTTCATTGTTTGAAAAACAACCACCACCAATAAAAGAAAAAAAAAGCAAGACTAATCAGAATTGCGCTACCTAAATCCATTTCAGATATAATCCTTTCCTGTTTTTAAGGAACTGAACTTAATGCCATTGTTATTTTTGGCTGAATCCCACACCTACTTAGCAAAGCATGGGCAAGGATGTTGTTGTGTTCTTTTTTGCAGCACCAATGCAAAGGGTAGTTACAAATTATAGTTTAATATTTCTGGTGTTTTAAAAAAAGAAGTTTTAAAACTGGACATATTACAAAACTTTATTTTTATTTTTAGCTAAGCATGCAAAGTCCGGTCCTATGTATTTCACTGATATCCCAGTATGTACCTCCACCCAGCTTCCTAGGATAACATGCCCACCAAATTGCTAGATTGAAGGTGCCTTGCCTTGATCTCTATATACTGTACTTTCTCCTACATGAACCTAGAAGAAATCAAAAACATCATAAAATTGAAGCCTTGGATCATATTACCAGAAACATCAACCCTTTGAGTTTGTCACTTGTGAACAATTAAGCCAGTGTTGTGGGGGAGGAAGGAGGGTGTAGGAAAGATTTAGAGAATGCCACAGAGATGCCACTGAAGTTTTTGCACACTTAGTCACAGGTTTTCAGAGGATGAAAAATATGGGCACTCTCTGTATGCTTAAGAAGGGATTTGTTTTTTAGAAATAGCAGCAAAGATCAAACTGTATCTCAGTCTGGAAAACTGTGTGACAACGCTCTCTTGGCCTCTTGCTGTTACCTTGATATTTAAAGACAAAAAGAGGAAACCATCCGTTCCTTTTTTAGCACTGTATTTCTGGCAATTTGTTTTATCACATCTTTGTGCTGAAGTCCCTAACAGAGACTGCTGATTATTTCAAACTCTCTGTCTGCTCAGCTGAACAGTCTGATTCAGTCTGAATGAACTCTTCATACTAGTTTTCAAATGTGTTCTGTTTTTATAAGCAACATTTAGTGCACTCTTCAAGGAGGCTACTGTAAAGCTGCTAAATTCTAGATAAACTTTTTTTTTTTCTGTAGGTCAGACTTCTTTTTGTATGTGTGATATGAGAACAGCAAGATAATGCTTGATGTTGGGTCTTTCTAGGGAGGGAATGAGTTAAGCATGAAGCCCTCTCTCCATGTAGAGAAAAAAAAAATACAAACCTAATCTAAAACTGTGATACAAATGCAAAGAAACTTTGACTTAAGACTGTGCCCTTGCCTGCTAGCACTAAATCTGTGTGCGTGGGGAAAACAACACTTTATTAAAAACTTCCGTGTGCCCTTCTCGTCCCACCTGGTCCAGTGGGATTTGTGCACCATCCCTGAGAAAACGAAATCAAACCAAAGCAACTCAGATGGTGAGCTGGGGGCTTGCTCTGCGCTGCAGGATGCGTGGGAGGCAGCAGCCTTGGTGCTGCCATGGCCCCAGGCCTTCCAGCTACTGTAAGAGGGGAACTTCTCAATATTTCAAGTAAGATAGAACAGCTGAAGGCTACATTCTCTCTCACCTGATTCATGAGGAGGGAATGAACGAGTATCATAGCCCATTCAACTGTCTTTTTACTCACCCAGTGTAAGAGCCTGAGGAGAGACAGGGCTGGAGACCTGGCTGAGCCATGCAAGGAGGATCTGGTTCATTGCCTGGTCCTATATAAGCATTGTTTTCAACATTAACCTTTTGGTCCTGAGTAACTATGATCTGTGAACCAGTTTGGGAGGCTATAATTAAGGCCAGATATAATTTATTTAAGCAGTTAGTACATACTGGAAATACAGCTTTTTTTGTTTTGTTTCGTTTTGTTTTTTAATTATCATTTTCTGGTTTTGTTTTTGTGGGCTAAATTTGTTTAATCCAGTGAATCAATGTCCTAATTTTTTTTTTCTACAATCTGTTTGTTTAAACATGACAAAATTTTGTCTTGTCTCATCTGTTGCATGGGAAGAGTATGACAAGGATGAGCTAACTGCATGTTGTAGGTTGTGTCTGTCAAAGAACTGTTGGTCAGTGTTACAAATTTACATACATATATGCAAAGAGTTTATCTGCATTGTACAGTTTGTGTTTATTCTTATTTGTTGTTACACAGATTCAACATGATGAATAAAACATTTATGCGAAGGCATACTGGAAACCAACAAAAAAGATTATGTAAGAAGTAGACTGTGCAAAGCATCATTGCACTGGCCACAGGATGGTGAAACTTCGTGTAAATAGGTTGGCAAACTCAGTTCTCCCCCTTTACCATGCCAAAGAAAATTTCAGCTCCTTAATATAATACCTCTCTTGCTGTTCTCCAGGATGAGACTTCACCATTTTCTTCCCTCTAAAATTAATTTTGCTGTTAAGTGAAAGCTGTTTTCAACTGTTACTACTAAAGTACTGTATAGTAAACCTGATGGAATCAATTTGTATTTACAGATTGGGGTTTTTGTACTTACATGTGCAGCTGTCTGTGCATCTGCAGCTTTCCAGGTCTTTTGCATGCTTGCATTGTATTTTGTTCTTCTGGGTTTTCTCTAATCTCTGAGAGACTGTTCACACTGCAATCTAACCTCATCTTGCCATTTTATATGTTAACACTGCACAAAGTCATTTTCTTCTCTGTTTTGATCTGTATTTCAGCTACAGTTCTATTTGGCAAAATCAGTCACACCTGCACTATTTTAGAGATCCAGTTTTGAGGAGATATCAACTACTTCAACAAAGCACTATTTTGCTGTACTTCAAAAATTTTATAAATACACAAGAATTTTATGAGATTGCTCACATGATGGAGCCTGTGGAAGGGTCTCTAGCTCCTTTTAAGAGCTTTGTAGTTCACATAACAGAGCTTTTGCTTCATTTGCTGGGTTTTTAGCCATTCTTAATTGATTTTTAATATACTGTCATTTTCATAATTGTTGGTTCTTAACAAACCCCTCCCAGCCCCTTCCCTTCACCAGATATAAAGTAAAGCAATTCACTTTGACTATGGTACACACCTGAAACAATACTAAGAACCCTGGCTTTACAAACATATATATGGGGAAACTTTGTCTTGGTTTAAAACTAGTTTAAGCAATGAGGTATGAAAGCAGGCAGTTTGGTCCATGCAGTAAATTGTGCCATGATGATCCATCTGTTTAGTGGTATGACGAATACATTATTCAGCTACATACAAATGGGAATGAAAATAAAGTTAGACTACATAAGAAGGTTCTTTTCCTTTTAAATGGCCCTTTAGATAAATTCATATTTCATGCAGTGCATTCTAAAATGTTTAATAACAGGATTTTTTTTCTGTGATGACTAATGCAAATGCTATGACTTATTTTTTAAGCTGTAATAAATTTTTTTGTTCAATTACTTCGTCACAGTAATATTCAAATTAGCTTTCTTCATTCCAGTATCATTTAGCTACAAAGTGAGATGTCATTCTGCAAAGAAGCAAGGGCAGTGCATCAGAAAAGTGAGAGCAAGTACATGATGAAATACATTGATGTGTTTCTAAGAAAGAATATACACAGTGGGGGAAAAAAATCACAAGCAGGTTAATAAATTATAGAAGCAAATAAATCCACAGGTTTTTTATAGGTGATATTACAGATATGTTATACACAATAGGCATAATCCTGCAAGTATATTATAGAAGCACTGGCACACTTCTGGATTGTGTTCTTTCTCACATAAAAAGAAAACAAGGTTATAGTATCTTTTTTTAATAAGGTTTACCAATCTAATCATTAAAAAGTCCCCTTTTATCCAATTTCATTTTGCCTTTTGCCACAGGCCTGGAAGCAGGTTTTTACAGTCACTAGCTATGAAGAATCACGCAGTAAGTTTCACTTCCTTATGCCTCTTCCTGCATTTACAGTTTATGTATCTGGAATTCCCATCACAGGGACTGAGATAAGGGAAAAAGATAACAATTTATTAATACAGCTATTATATTCATATATGTGGAATAATAATCTTATTCCTTCTGATTTCATTTATCTAGAGAGGAAGTGAGATGCAAAACAGATATACTGGGTGTCACATCACCAGTTACCTCAGCATGAAGAGCAGGGGAAATGTTTAAGCAACATAAAGAATAAAAATTGGGAAAAAATTAATGTGTACATTACATTTAGTTAACACTTGAAGGTTTATAGTAAAAGCACCATTTTGTTTGATAATTGCATTTAAATGAACCACTGACAGTAGCTGTCCTAGATATTCTGATTTTTTTCCATATGTAAGTTAACAAACAACTTGGATAACACTTTTTGAAACGCTATGGCTATATAATCCATCCAGTAGTCAAAAAGGTTGGAGCTGATTGGTTTAAAAAAATCAAAGTAGAAATAAAAATTACTTTATACTCTTTAAGTATATAAATTTAAAATTAAAGCAAAAGACAAAGTAAAATGCATCAAATATGACACTGGAACTACCTAAAGAATTGTTCTTTTATATATGAATGAGTACCTGAAATACCATAGCTGATCTACAGTATATATAAATGTTTTGATGCCATGAAACAAGTCAAAAGCATCTACTGACACCAGATAAGGGTTTTGATTATCTAGTATTTTCTTAATACATTACTAAATACAAAGGGAAGGAAAGCAAGAACTTTGTATCCTTCATTGTTTACACTCTGATTCAGCAGATGAATGTATATGCAAAAAACCCAGTGATTATGAGATGATTCAGGTCAGTGGTATTCATTATTCATAAATATAAATAAAAGCAACAATTTGTGCTCCCCAGACACTTGGGTTGGCAAAACGCATATATACTAAAACTTAAGAAAATATTCCTGTTGAGCTCTATAGAGTTCAAGGGTTTTAAGTACAAAATATAAATTAAAATTTCAAGATGAATTTTACTTTGAAGATTCTTTATGCTGTATGAATAGAGTTTAGAACTCTGCCTGATACTTTGGTTATCTGATAAGAGAGTAGCTAGCAGCTTTGGGATGTATGTCTAGTTATTTATCTGCATAGCCTGTATATAAGTTGGATGTTTGGTAAGGGTACTCCCTGAGAATATGGGCTTTACAAGCTTCATTTTTAGAGAGAAAGAATCCAGGTTAAGGGGGAAAAAAGTGGTAGTTAAAGAGGAAAGCTATATGGGATGGGGGAATAATAAAGCAGTTAAATTAATTTGAAATTTTGCATTCTATTACATGTTCTGTACCATTGTATTTTCCTATTTCAAAACTGTCATTTCTAAAAGAAAAGTAGTTCCTAGACTAATAATGGAAATACATTTTTTTTGTTAATATGTAGTTCCATTATTTCCGAGTCATGTACCTCTTCAAAAATCAGGACCTTGGCACCTAAACCACAATGTTAAAGTTTGGTATCTAAAAGAAGTATTTTTGAGCCATTTAATCAATTTCTTGCTCAATCATGGTTTCACAAAATGTAAACACTTTTGAAACTAAAATGTATATTTCTTTTTTTTTTTTTTTTTGCTCTAAAGAATTCAAGGGCTGCCAAATCTACATGTACAAAAAAATAAGAGACTCATATGTAAATAAGTTAGGGAAGTCCCAATAGTTGTGCATCGTTCATAACTCAATGTGAATTTCACACTGAGCAGCATTTCACCATTGGAAAATAAAAATAAAATTTTTGTTCATACCACTGCTTTGTTTGTATTTATTATATTAAAACTTTAATTACTTTGTTGACATTGTCCAAACATCTTTGGTTGAGACCGAGTTGCTCCATAGCACAGATGATTTTCAAGTCAGTTGATGTTCAGGTTCCCCATTTCTATGAAAGCAGTTAAATTCAGTGAATTCCACGTGTGACAGGGCAGTCTGTGCTGAACAGTGTAGACAGAATTTTCATCCTAAAATTTACTAATACAAAAAAACTTTTCATTTGTTTTACATGTAGGAGGCAACTGTAGATATATAGAACAGTACAATAGAAGTCCATGTGAGTTGCAGAATATATATGGAGAATAGGCAATCATACTTTTATATCTTTATTAGTTTCATTCCATATGTTTCTATAGGTTATGTACTTGAAGGTATTGTAATATGTAGATTAGACATTCAACTTACTGACATATTAACCACAGAAACTAAAAGTTCTCTGGTGGAAAAGGTTCCATTCAAACATTTTGGGTCTTCAGTCTATGAGTGTCATGTAACTGGACCTCAGTAAGACAGTTATTTGACCAAATAAAAAATCATTAATATTTTTATAGGCTTCTTTACAGTTTCTCTCAATTTATGAGTTGGTTCATAATCAGGATTGTTATAAAGGAAAAAAAAAGGCCAAATAATGTATTTTTCAAACATCATAAAACAAACCAAACTTATTATTTGACAAATATTCAATTAGTGCTACTCTTCTACAGGTGTATTGTTGCTTATGTATAAGGAGACATGACAACCAAGTAAATAATGTTTAAAAAGGGTTTTCTTATACCTTTGCCTCAGGTTGCTCAAAGAAATAGTCATTATAGGTGTAATACAAATCCCACTGAATTTACAAAAAATCTCTGGAGAAGTTCCACAGGGCCAGTATTTTTTGACTTCACCCTCTAGAGCTCGAGCTGCCCTGCTCCCTTGTTTAGTTTTCTGATGCATTTTTTTAAGGACCAAATCCTCGAACGTGCTCTAAGGTATTTACAAACATGTATGTGTGTGTTCATGCATACCCACACCCAGACACTTCAGAAATTAAATGTCCTAGCAGCCTAAAGAAAAGCAAAAAAGTCCTCAATCTTTGACGTCCTTCATTAAGAGTATTCTCTCCCCAGCCAGATTTCACAAGCATTTCCATTCCATCCTTCCCAGCATTCACA